TGTGAAGACTCTTTACCATCTTCTTAAAGGGTTGTTGGGGCAGCTTAGTGAGAGGGGAAGCTGCAGATCCTTGGTAGTCCTCCAGCATGCATGGGAATCTCTGGTCCATTTAGCACAATTCTTTGTAATGGATCAATCAAGCAATTACCTCAAAGGCTCAATTAATTAATCTTGGCTGCAGCGTATCCACCCCAGTGCAAGCCAAGGGCTGGAGGGGTTCCAGTGCCCATCAGCCCGTAGAGAAATTCTGGAGGGATTAGAGACTATTAAACAGCCACCAGCTACTCATGGGGGAAGGAAGTGGGGGCGTGAGAAAGGGGGTAGACTTCTCATCCCTGCCAAGCCCAGGGCTGGCTAATCCTGAATGCAGGTTATTGTGCAAACTGGGCACTCAAATGACTCTGAGCAGTGAGGTGCAACATGCTCTCTGTCTACTGGAGAGGGTGAAATGCAGCATGCTGAGTGTCAATCCAAGTGTTGTTTTCTTGCAGATGTTGGGATGTATATCCCTTCCAAGCTGTTTCAGACTTCTCAGCCATCCGTCAACCTGCTGGGTTCCATCCAGAAGCACGAGCCAGATGTCAAGGTGACTATGACCTGTTTCTGCACTCCAGGTGTGCCGTGGTGCTCCCTCTTAGTGGAAGCCATCAATTGCCTGGACTCTGAAAAGCTTTCTGAATAGGCCCAGCCAGGAAACAACAGGCTGATGGCCCAGGGCAGCAATACAGCCAGGTCTGTGCAGGCTTGGAAGTGACTTGAATCCCACCTGGGACAGTTAGATGTGGACTCTCCATGTCCTTGATAACCAGCCTGCAGACTGCTTCCAGCAGACCCATAGCCCATGGGCTGCAGGGTATTCAAAGGTGACTGAGAGCAGACAGGCCAGGGGGCCTAGCATAGAAGGAGCAAGGTCCATGAGGAAGAAGAGGAGCTGTTGTTGGATGTGACATGGTGAACCAGTGGAGGTGGATCTGTCCAAGGAGGAGTGAGGAGTTAGCCCAGCATCCTGGTTTGTGGACCAGCACTGGGAAAGAATTATCTTGAGCTGAGGCTCTTTCCAGGTCCTTGCAGTAGAGCAGACCTAGTCTGGTGGAGGCTGCTGAGGCTTTCGTCTGGTGTTGGGGCTTTGGCCAGCGTTGGCAGCCAGTGCCTTGTCCCACCCTTTGGGAATGGAGTTGGGTACAGCAGGGAGTCTAGGGGAAGGCTTTGGGATGCCAGCTCTAACCGGACCTTTGAATGCCCTCTTCTAAAGATCCCCTCGCTCCATGCTGAGATGAACCTCCCCAGAGACAATGCTGGGAACGTGGACTGCAAAGCCCTGGTGGACCAACTGCGAGAGTGCCCCACCCTGCAGGAGCAGGCTGATCTCCTCTACATGCTCCACACCCTCAAGTAGGAGCACCAGCCAGTCCCTCTGCCTCTTCTCGCTGCTTCTCTCCTTGCTTTGCCTCCCTATGGCAGCACTTAGTGTCACCAGAGAGACTTTGGGCATTGCCTGCTTGCTGGATGGAAGTCAAAGTTCACCAGTTCAGGCCTTTAAAACGCAGCGAAATCATTTAGCAAATATAAGGCAGGAAGGCGTCTCCAGAGCCTCTACTAACTTAGATGAATCTGCTGGCCGTTTCATGATACAGAAATAAACTTGGCTTGTGAGCCAAGGCCAGGCCAGGCCAGGCCTCATGCTTAATGCTGTGTGCTTCATGTGAGTGCCTAAATTTGTTTTTCCTGAAAGGACTTAACACCTTTGAGAGCTGAAACTTCCAAGCATGCAGCTTTGTTGCTTTCTGTCTCATCCTCATGTGCTATTTGGGGCAGTGCTGCTAGCCAGGACAATGTCCCTCCCTGAGCACTGCTGTCTTCTTAATCCTGATCTGTCATCTGTTGCTTTGAACAGATATTAATGCTGCTGCTGCAGTTAGTTGTGCTTGGCTAAAACACCCTTGCTGTAACCAGGGATCTCTAACACAGGGGGCCTGACTGGGACACTGAGATCCATGGCCAACCTGGTGCTACAATCAAGGACCTCCTTACTGAGCTGTACGTCAAAGTAGGGACTACTCGACAGTGGGCCCTGATCCGTTACATCTCGGGAATCCTGAAGAAGAAGGTGGAAGCTCTTGATGAGGTAATGACTTGGCTCTGGGGCCCTGGTGTGCTTCTGGCTCCAAGCTTATGGGGGTAGCAAATGGGATGGTAATGATTTACTTCCTAAATCTCTCAGAGAACAGCAGGTGGCAGTACATGACCCTATGTTTTAGTCGTCTTTGCTGACAAAGGGCCTTTCTTGGATCTGAGGCTTCTGAATCCAGGGTCATCCTTACTGTTTCACAGAGAGAGTGAAAATCTTGTAGCTTCGTAAAATGTCCTGACTGTGCTCATGTTGGACTGCCTGGCCTGCATACTTGCAGTTCCTACTGATTGGCTGGAGCTGTCAGCACTGCAGATTTCAGGAAGAGACTTTTAGGGGTGAGAGAAGTAGGAAGACTCAGGCATTTAATATGATCCCTGAAGAAAGGGGGAACTTTAAAATGAGTCTTGTGTCCATGCTCTGTGTGGAAGAGGTAAATGAAGCTGTTGGCTGGGCAGAGGAATACTCCCTTAGACAGTAGACAGGTCTGCCTGTTGGTTACCCATAACCATATGTAGGATGGTTCCTCTGTTTTTAGGCCTGCACTGACCTCCTGTCTCATCAGAAGCACTTGACAGTGGGGCTGCCTCCAGAACCTCGTGAGAAGACGATCTCTGCGTGAGTTCAGTGGCTCTTTCTGAGTTGTACCATGGGGAATGAGAACATCTTAGTCGATCCAGGGGCCAGCACAAAATGGACAGTAATAAGTGGCAATTACTTTTTTCCGAGCTCCACCTTGAATGCTTTACTGCTGCCTTCTCAAAGGAAGGAGGCCCAGGGAGGTCTAGTCCCAAGCTAGCCAGTATGTGAGCCCCTGCTCTCCCATGCACGAGTGAACTCCGTGTGTCCTGAGAACCTCATTAGCCATTAGTCGAGTCACATCAGAGCAGACAGGGCACTCCCTGTGATCTGGAGAAAGGGACATCCATCCAGTGATGCGTAGATCTAGATCATGCTGGGTCTCACCTGTATGTCTGTTGCCTCCTCAGCCCTCTTCCTTATGAGGAGCTTGTTCAACTGATTGATGAAGCTAGTGAGAGAAACCTGAGCATCTCTATCTTGACCCAGGTGAGAGGACAGGCCCCAGGTGGTAATCAGCCTCCAGCAGGCTGGAGAGTCTTTCCCATATGCTCTGAGGTTATAGCCTCTCCTGTTGTGCAGCTGTCTGGTGACCTAGCATCTCCTGGCTCTTACCCTCAGGAAATCATGGTATATTTGGCCATGTACATCCGCACACAGCCCTCCCTCTTCTCTGAGATGTTCCGCCTACGCATTGGGCTTATCATCCAAGTGATGGTGACGGAGCTGGCGCATTCTCTGCACTGCTCAGGTATGTGTGCTGAGCCCAGCAATCTCCTCCTAAAGCTCCTGACGCATGTTGCACTTAAGACATGATTTACTGGTTAAGCAGTGATTCGGCCACACGTTCATTCAATTAATGGTGTGAGAGAGCCACGAATAAGTGATAAAGTTATTACAGAGGCAGACAAGTTTCTTTTGAGTAAATCTGGTATCTCTTATTAAACGAACTCAGATTGTTGGAAAAATTCTTCTTTGCAAGTTTTTGGGTATAAATACCCTTCATCAGGCTGAGGAAGCATCTGCAGTTGGGTGGAATGAATAATAACGTTCTTTACTATTCATTCCATCCAGGAAGAGCCCATACCAACTACAGATGCTTCCTTAGCCTGATGAAGCGTATTTATACCCGAAAGTTTGCAAAGAAGAATTTTTCCAACAATCTGGTTTGGTCTAAAAAAAATATTAGACTTACCCAAAGAACCCAGTCTGCCCATGTCCTTAAACCAACATGGCTACAACCTATACCCCTGTAACATGAAAGTTATTACACAACATATGCATAACAACTTTTGTACCTGGTTCCTATCCTGCCTTTAACTGAATGTTGCCAATGCTCCCAGCCTCTGCAGCACATTGCCATGTGCTCTAGAGGTCAGGAGCACTGGTCAGCTGATTGGGGCTCCCAATTAGCTGCTAGAGCTCTCAGCTGTGGGAACATATGGTACATCCCCAGGTCTGAAAATTCTGCTGCACTGGCAACCTGACAGTGTGTTATCTGATTATTTGGCCACATCTCACGAGGTCCCTTCGAGCCCTAAACTTCTGTGAATCTGTGACATTATGCGATCTGGTGCTCAATTCTACAATCGCGCCTCGTTCCATGCACATATGGCATGGCAGGTAATGCAGTTGTTGGGACTGCACATTAGATCCCATTGTGCCTTCTTTAACATCAGTCAGTGGCCTAACAGTGTTGTCTGGTAGCTCTTAGAGGCCCCAGCCCAGATTAAGGTCTCCTCATAATAGGCATTGTACAGACCAAGCCAGAGAGTGAGCTCCTGCTCCAGGAATTTAGTCTATGTGGGCAAGACAGAAAAGGTTAGTGTATCCCTCTTAACATCCAAGCCTGTTAATTGGCAGTAGGAGGTGAACACCTGTACCCTGTTGCTTGTTGCATTATAACTAGGTTAGAATTGTAGCTGGGTTTGTGTTACCTCCATCAAAGCCCCAATAAATAGGCTTTATAACAAACTGTCCCTCAGCCTTCAGCTTGACAGATGCTCTGGGTAAGAACAGATATTTCTGTGGGCTCAGTTTGCATGTGAGGAGCTCATAACTAGTAAAATTTGAACCTAGTAATGAAAGTCTCTGGGGAAAACTGTGGTAGGGAATTACCTAAAGATAGAGGCACCTATGCTTGCAGCACCAAAAATATAAACTCCCTTGCTTATCACCTCAGTCTCTTATTTATTTTTGGGTTTTCTTTAACATTTAAAGACCAGAATTCTTATTACATTACCTTGTCATGCATGCCAGAACCTCTCTAGGAAGCATGGAGCATAAGGGACACTAGGGTACATGCAAAGGGGTGTCAGTGGACACCCAAAAAAGCTTTGCAAACGGTTGTCAGTGGACAGCCTGGCTATTTTTAATAGGTACAAACTGTGCCTCAATTTGAGAGTCAACCTAACCACTCTGGGTTTGGGAATTTAATTGTGTGTACATGTTACAAGTAAATGCTGAAGGTCACGGTAGGGGAGGATGATGCAAAGAATAGTGGGTTCACGTGGCACTCAGCAGACCTGTGTTCAGTTCCCTGCCAGAGTCCTGTGTGATTTGGGGAGGCAGGTCACTTAGCCTCGCTCTGTCTCAGTTGCCAGCTGTGAGTTCTCAGCTACACGGATGTGCATGAGTAAAACCAGTAAAGTCTGGGGTGTTAGAATATTCTATTTTTGGGAGGTGGGCCACAGAAGAACTTAAACCAGGGGTTGTTGACCTGTGGTCTGGATCTGGCCTGTGGAGCCATTCTATTGGGCCCGCAGATATGGGGGGCTTTTGCTAGGGCTTTGGCGGTGTTCCTCGTGGGGGGTGGTGTTCAGATTCGGGTTTGACTGGGCAGCAGGGAAAAACAGTCACCATGATGGTACTGAGGGAAGGAGCAGGGACTGCAACTTTGACTGTGGCTGTGGTAGCAGCGGTACAGGCCAGGCTTGAAGCTTCCCAAACTCAGAGCTGAGCTGCTTTAGAGCAGCTTCCCACTCCAAAACGTTGCTGGCCCCTGACTTCAATCTCAAGAGCTGCAGTGATGCATGTTTGGCATCTTGATCAGTTTCAGTGTCTCTCTTCACACGTTGTGGGGGGGGGGCGCATTTCTTGCATAGGTGCTGGGGAAAGAGAAAATGGAATTAGTGAGCCGTGAGGTTGGGCTGAGGGACTCAAAGCTTTAGAATCACCTGTGGGCTCTTGGAATTCATATTTTGTAATTGCCTAGATCTCCGTGTGGAGAGGATCTCATAGCAACTGAAGTTTTCTTTGGGGACTAAGAACAGGATGAGAGCTTGAATTTTTCATCAGTATGTATGAGGGAGTAATCTGTTGTATGGCTTTACCTATGCACCTGTTGACAATAAACCCTCTTACCAGAACTTTCTTTAGGAATGCTCCTTCCCATAATCAGTGACATAAATTATAATATGAAAGCTTTCTAGAAGTATGGGGAAGAGTAGGTCATTTTGCTGGAAGTCACCTAAGTTGTCTCTGATCTCTAGCTGGAGAAGCTACCGAGAGCTTAATGAATCTCAGTCCTTCGGATATGAAGAATCTTCTGTGCCACATTCTCTCTGGCAAGGAGTTTGGGGTGGAGAAGAGTGGTGAGTCTTTCTTATAAAAGATCTTTAACATTAATCTGGCTGCCTGTGAAATGTAGACAGAAAACCTGAAATGAACACTGCAACCTAGCCAAAGCGTGTTTAGCTGAAGCTCTGCTCCTGGCCATTCAGATCTGCCCATCCCTGCTGTTGTAGATGTACATCTTGCTATAAGTAATTCTGTGTTTCTGTAACCTTCCCACACCTTTGCTATACATATTGAGGCATCTTCCTGCTTAATTCTCCATTGTGGCTCAAACATTCTCCCCATTCATGGATCAGAAATTCAGCCTGAGCACAGCTCTGAATTTGTTATCAAAATAACTCTGTGCCTCACGTGGTGATGAAATGGGTTGATGCAGCTGGTGCTTGGAACAGGGAGAGCAACAGTAGGTGGCAAAGGAGATTTGTACCGTGGCACTACCTAAGGTGGTTGTTGAGTTCTCTGCAAGGTCTTGCATCTCTACCTACTGGAGATGGTAAGAGGACACCCTCAGGCAGCATGAGGTGCTTTGTAGGCTGCATTGCTGCCCTGAGTCCTCTGAGGCGGTGGTAAGTTCTCTTCCTTCTGCTTCTTCAGTGCGGTCTGTTGATTCAACCCTCACACCAGCCATCTCCATCCGTGAGATGGGCGCTGTTGGAGCAACCAAACCGGAGCGAACTGGCATCATCAAGCTGAAAAGTGAGATCAAACAGGTGAGAAGGGCAGGACTGGGCTGGGGTTCTTAGGAGGTGCTGAGGTCCAGGGCTGGCTGATTTCATAGGTATATAATAGCTTTTGTTTAAGGTTCAGGAAGTAACAGGTTGGGGAGCTCTGTAGTAATTTAAAACGATACTGCGAAGAACTGTCATGTATGTCACTGTCGACCTCTTCTGAGCGGGTAGGTAAGGACCACCTAGATGGCTCAATGTCCCTCTACTGCTAACAGCTGCTGTGAGTTTCTCCTGGCAGGAGCTTGTGCTTTTGAAACAAGAGCTTCAGGGTTGTATCCCCAATACCTAACAGCAGGTTTCCTGTAGCCAGAGTACAGTGTGGTGAGGGAAAGACTCCTTATGCCAGTAGGACCTGGGAAATGTCCATAAAATGGCAGAGGATTTCTCCTCTACTCCACCAGTTCCCAAGAGTTCCTTACTTCTCTCCCCCCACATACTTGCTAGAAGGTTTCTGAGATCATACTTTGGTTCAAACACCTTTGAAATGGTCACTATGTCCCTTGGGGCTGGTGGTAACAGAATCCTTACTGGGTATTACTGCAGAGTACCTCGTCCCTGAGGGAGTCACAAGAGCTGAGCTTGCAAGCTGCTCCTCTCCATCTGGGATTCCAGCTCCTCTGTTTTCTCTGAGCCAATAACAGTGCTCGTGGGGCACATGTGACTTCTTGCACTCTGTTTCCTGTGCCCTGACCCCCTCAGAGGCCAGGAACACTTGCTACTGCAACTGGGCAGGCCTGGCAGGGCTGCCTTCTGTGCAGGCTGCTGTCAGCATGAGATGCACCCTGGATGCTCTCACAGCAACTTCATTATCAGGGTCATTTAGATGGAGAGCAGCACCAGGATAGTGTTAAATCAAATCAGTTGGAGACACAGGGGTGCAAATCTCAGCCTTTGTGGCCACCCTGACTTACGTGAAGGGCTTATTTCAGCCTGATGTAGTTTGCTTGGGAAAAAAAATCAAGTTAAACTGCAGTAAGACTGCCCAGCCAAGGGCTTGCTTTGCTTTAGCTCCTTTCCCGTATAGATAAGGAATTAGGCTTTGGGCTCTGTTGCGTGGTATGTGGGAGGGACTGAGTGGATGTTCTTGTGGACGTAGGACCTGATCCTGTTTCTTATGCTCAGTGTCTGAGTGCCTGTTACCTGTTTTCCCCTGCTTGAGTCTCTGAAAATCTTTCCTCCCCCCCCCCCCCCCGCGGGGGGGGGGGGGGGCCCAGAGAGGGAAGGGGCTGGAAGGAAACAAATGCCTGACATTACATAGGGGACCGACTACTTTGGAGTCTCAAGTCAGGGTGGGGCTTTTAGGCAGCAGGACATAGCACCACCGTGTATCTGCAGCTAGTCATATTGCATATATTTTTATCTTTTTATCTTTCAGCAACTGGATAAACGTAGGCAGTCTCTGACGGGGAGTAAGGTGAAACCACCAATGTTCCCTTCACACGTCAGCTTAATCAATAACTCTGCGCACACGGGTGGCTTCTGAGCATGCATGAGCTAACGGGCTTCTTTAAAATCAAGCTGGCGCACCCAGGAGCTGGCTTTCCCTCACCATTAAACATGGGGTTCAGTGCCAATGACAGGGATCTAGTTGGTCCTAGCAGGATGCCCTTCAGGACTCTTTGAAGCCCATTTCCAGTCCAGGCTATTCTGCTTGGAGCTCTTTTCTGGGAGCAGGCTTGGGTAGAAGTGTGTCTCTCTCCTGTCCATCTGCCACATGTCTGTACTCGATGGTCTGCAGTCCGTGGGATACAGTGATGGCCATGTCTAAGCTGGCTAATGGCAATGCCATTCTGCTGGTTCAGTCAATGGCCACATTATAGACATCTGCTGGTATAGTGGTATTGGGCAGGGGTGTAAAGAGGTGTGATTCCTTGCTTCACACAGTAGAAGACCCAAATGTGGGTGTAGTTAGACTCTGCTGATACCATTGTAGTCTGTCACTCAGAGAAGGGGATTAAAAGCTTGGGCTACACTATGAAGTTTTGGTGGAATAGTTGTCAGTAGGAGTGTGACAAGGTGATGTCTGTAGTTGACATGGCTAAGCCAGCAGAATCCTGTCAGTGCAGTTAAACTGGCTGAAGAGGGCTCTGCTTGGCTTCTTCATTGAGGTGATGTAGCTATGCTAACAGAAAACTTCAACAGACAGGTGCCAGGTCTGCAGTAGGTGGCTCTGCTGTTATAGCACTGCCAGTAAAGCTGGCAGCAGCAGCCACCCTATAAAGGAAACAAGCCATTACTCTACTGGTACAGAGTGCAGTGTTGCTGGGGTAGCTTTGCACACCCAAGGAGTGCCACACTGGTATAACATTGACAAACTGCTCCTCCTCTCAATGAGGCCCCAGTTAGGAAACTCACCCAGTCCTCAGGCCTCTATCCCTTCTGTCATTGTGCTATTTCCTTGTGAGGGAGGAGGTGCCGAAGGAACAGGCATACCATGTTATGGGGCTATGAAGAACCAATTATAACTTCTCCACAGGTCTCTTACCTGCACTTCTTGCTTGTAGCTCTCACTGAGACTCCTTGGGCGGATGGGTCTCTGAGCCAGTGAGAACCTGTAGCCTTAGAAATGGGCTTGATCCAAGTTGCAAGAAGAGTAGGGGACCTGAGGGAGTAGAACACCATGGGGCATGTGAGTCTTGCCTAGAGGCTAGAAATGATTGACTTGTCGTAGCGCGCTGGGCCACAAACCAGAAATGAAGTTCAGCAGAAGACATCCAGTGCAGGAGGGAAACTTTTTGTACTTGCTTATCTTGAGTTGTATGACTACAATTGTGATTCTTGACTAGGGTGCCATGGCACAGGGGTGCCTTGAGATCCTTTTAGGGGTGCTATGTGGTGTCACATGATGTTAGCACTGTTGGGAGTACACCCATGGTTCACAGCATAAGCCCAGAGATTTCAAGTAGGAATCCATAGTGTTAAAAACATTTGGATCTTTTGTGGTCTTTCTGAGCTCTTTACAACAAGAGAATTGCAATATGATTTTTCCATAATTAAAAAAAAAGAATGAAAACTAAGAGCTGGCGTTTTCCAAGTGGTGCCTTGAATCTATAAAGATTTGAGAACCACAGTTCCAGAAGCTTGGGAATTGCCAGATAAACCTACCATGCAGTTCAGCTTCTCCCCTTCTCGGCTGCCTAACGTAACTACAGGCAACAATGCTCCTTCTGCCTATTCACTTCCTCCCTCTGCCATAATGGGTGCATGTTCCCCTGGAAAGAGCTCGCTGTAGCTGCAGTGCTACTGTGCAGTGAGTCCTCGTGCATTTTTCAGTCCCCACAAGAAGGACCTCAGTCCTGCTCTGAAGTGGTGGTTGGCAGTAGTGTAGACTTCTGTACTTCATTCTGGGTTCTAGATCCTATAGGTCACCCCCTGCTAGGCTGAGCCTTTCTCTGCCTCGTTCCATTGTGCCCAGTCTCTGGCTATCATGGCCGCCAAGGAGTGCATCCTGTATTGCACAAGGTAAGTCTGGAAAGAAAACCCAGCCCAAGGCTTAGCACAGTGCAGTCTGTCACCTTATATACTGGACTATGCTTCCCTTGTTTAACCAGCGCCTCCAGTTGCGGCTGGCTCTTATCCTTTACCCAGGGATGGGTCATTCCTCTGTTACAGCTTCAGTTTAATGCAAAAGCCTGTGATGCAACTTCCTAAACTGGCTCTAAATTCTTTGGCTAATCATGGGTGCCTGAGACACCCACCAAATGACACAAAGCTTTGCCCAAGCTACTGCTGCTGCTAATAGTGTTGCCTGCTCCAACCCATCAGGATTTGATTGTCTCTCTCTTCTTTCTAGAGCTGTGGCTTACACTCCCCGGATTCGGATTCAGAATCTTCTCTGGTAACTTTTCCCTCCTGTTTACACGCACAATGTGTCTGTCCTCTCAGGTCCCTGAGTAAGAAAGTAGCTAGAGGGAGGAATTGCTTCACCCACACTGAAGTGCAGTCACTTTTGGAGTGGAGAACAGCAGCCCTTCAGCAGTGGCTAGGAAAGTTGCATAGAGGGTCAGCAAAGTTAGCATTAAGCAAAGGCAGTGCATGCAGCTACTTAAGAGGCTATTGCGAGTGCAGGCATTGGGATTTATTGGTAGCTTTCTTTTGGGAGCGTACCTAGAAGAAAATGCCTGCCTACAGTTAGCATTCTTTTGCTCCTTTCTTTCTCCCTCCTTCCCTCCCTTCCTCCTATACATCATGTTTGGCAGTGGGATGGGAAAACAAACAAGGCTGAAAACCCTAAAAACTAGCAAGGCCAACGCTGGATGTGGAGACCCTGTATTCCATCAGCATCCTGAGGACAGGAAGGGAAATGTAGTTGCCCACTCTGGGCACTGGCCTAATGTTCCAGGTTGAGCATAAGTTGCCGGGGGTTCTTTAATGGCCACAAGCAGCCTTACATCTCTAAGAGCAGCACTGTGTGCCTTCCCCCTGTGGTTGGATGCTGGGCTCAGTGCTTGTTGGTGTCTTCTCCTGAATGGCCACTGTCATGTATCTGCTGATGTCCTAGCCCAGCACTAACCTGGCCTGGCCCTTTGTGGTTGACTTGTAAGAGCCACCAAAATCACAGCATGTGATGATGACAGCAGAGAAATAGGGCCACAGGTTTCTCTGCAGTTGAAGCCACTGCAGGCCAGAGGGGGGATCCCTCACCCAATGCTGTCTGATGTTTTGGGCTGCTCTCACTAGAGCTGTTCCACTGCCTTTAATGTACCTTTGTCTTGTGCTCAGACCTCTGGACGCTCCTCCATCTTCCCTGGTGGAGGATCTTTTGCTAGCATGCTGGAAGATCAGTTCTCCAAAGACAGCCGCCAAGGCCAATGGCAACGGAGGCGGCGGCTAGATGGAGCGCTTAACAGGGTCCCAGTGGGCTTCTACCAAAAAGTCTGGAGGATCTTGCAGAAGGTGAGGCAGGTCACAGGCTGGTTGTTGTGCAGCCATCTCTATCCTTTGGGTGAGTCTCCCACACGTGATGTCCCTGTATCTTTGTTCTTGTGCAGTGCCCAGAAGATGTAACACCTTTCCTACAAACCTCACTGCTCTTGTAACCCACTGGATGCTGCTGCACAATGAGCCTGTTCTGAGGTCTTGATGAGCCTATTCTGAGGTCCCAGCTATTCAGGCCTAGTGTTATGGGGCCTGCTCTGGCCTTGTTTGTGTCAAAAGCCTAGCTTTGGGCCATGTAAAGTTGGGAACTTTAGATTTATGCAGGAGCTTCCCCTGCTAGCTGGGTTTTCAGCTGCAGGTAGGAAAAGGCCTGTTTCACCCTTGCACTAAGATACAGACAGTATGAGGTCCTAACATTAGCTAGACCAGAGGTAGGCAGCCTTTTCCAGCTCCAGGACAGAATGACCTGTTCAGAGGTGAATGGGTGGGCACTAGGACCTGGCTCCTGCCACTGCTTGTTTCCTGCCGCTAAATGCTGCTAAAGCCCTGGATCCACAGGCCAAATCCAGTAGTTCTACAGGCTGGCTCCAACCCACAGGCTGTAGATTGATAACTCTTGAGCTAGGGCAGCCCACACTTGTCTTTGTGCTTCAGTGAATTGTAACTCCAGAGCTGGGTGACAGGACTGATAAAGGGCTTGAAAGACATGTCATGCTTGGAGAGGCTGAAGGAGCTAGGCGTGTTCAGCTTGTAGAAAAGGCACTTAAGAGGGGACATGATAGCAGTCTTCAAATACTTGAAAGGCTGCCATATAGAAGAGGAAAAGCACCTTTTCTCTGTTGCTGCAGAGAGTAGAAGGTAGACCAATGCCTGGAAGTTGTCAAAAAGTAGGTTTAGATTAGATATCAGGAAAAATTCCTTCGTGGTTAGGACAGCGAAGCAGTGGAATAGACTGCCTAGGGAAGCTGTGGACCATCCATCGCTGGAAGTATTCAGGGTGGGGTTGGACAGGCACTAGTCAGGGATGACCTACGCATGGGTATGCTTATGTTCTACTATATGCATTTCCCACATTTCTGGGCTCTGCTGGTTGCTGCATGGGGCTGAAGGAATCCCTCCCCCCCTGCATATCAGGTTTTGTTGTTTTTTGGGGGGTTTTTTAAGCCTCCCTCAGAAGCACTGGGTGTTGGCTACAACAAAAGCTGGCGATTTTGACTGGCGTGTGGCAGTGTTCCTGCTGGGACTTAAAGCCAGAGATTCCTGGGTAGAGGGTCTTGTCCCTCTGCTCAGGGTCAGGCTGATTGCCATATTTGAGGTCAAGAAGGAATATTACCCTATGGTGCAAACTTTGAGGGGTTTTGCTTTCCCGTACAGCAGGGGGTGTGGCCCTCTTGGGATCTCTTGAGACTATATTAACAACATTTACAACAGCAGGACATTGGCCACCATACTCCCCTTGCTTTACCTGTGGCAAAGCCAGGTGTTGTGTCTTGTGTTGTGTTGCATCAGGGTTGACTGTAGTTTTGCTAAGAGGTTAGCCGATGGATTTGTATAGGATGGTTTGGATAGGGATGATGCTGCCTCAGGCAGGGTGCTGGACTGGATGATCTCTGGAGGTCCCTTCCAGTACTGCTCCTCTAAGATTCTATGGAGTGTTGCAAGGGTAAAGAATTTCTGGAGCACCCGTGCACCTTGGGTATACTCCAGATGCATGCTTTCCTGTTCCAGATGCTTCCTGTCTGAGGGCATCTCCTCCTGCATGATGCAGATACAACATGAGGGGGAAGCTAGTAGTAAGTCTCAACTCTGTTGGGGAATTTCCCTTGATACATCAGGCCCAAGGAGCCATGTTGATATCAGTTTGGCTTGTCACTGTGGTCAGAAGGATGAGAGGGAGAGGCATCTTATAAAGGGATGTTATGCCGACGCTTGGCACCAGACTTGGGGATTGTCTCAACGGGTGACAGAACTAAAGCAGATCTAAAGGATGCAATTCATCCCCTTCTCCCCTGTTATATAGGATCAGATCTTTGTTCAGACACTCTCACTTCACTAAAAGAGTTATCTTTAGAGAGACATCTGAGGTGGATTCCTTACTAGTTTAACTGACTTGATATGAAAGTGCTTGCATCCATATGAACAACCACATAGACTTCAACCAAAATAACAAGGCGTGTGAGTTGCTTCATACCATGCAGAACAGCTCTGCTTTAGAAGGCAGCACATAAGCAGAGGACAGATATTAAAGGCAACATCATCTGTAGTCATTGACTTGCTGGATGTCAAATGCTTCCACAAAGCCCTTTTTTGTGGCCTTGTTGGGAACTGGAATCTTTTAGAGATTCAGCAGAGACTGAATAATGTCCCCTTTCAAATCTCTCTTTCTAAGCTATTGCCTCTAACTTTCTGTCTTACTCTGCAGTGCCATGGACTCTCTGTGGAGGGCTTTGTTCTTCCTTCCTCAACGACCAGAGAGGTAAGAGCTTTAGGTGGGTGTATGTTTGGGGAGATTGGGTGGGGGGAGGAGGAGAGGGATCATCAGTCCAATTAGAGCAGAACTATGTAAAGTTATGTGCAAGAGAGGGAGTGAGAGCATGTCACAGGTGCACTAGGGTTGCAAAGCCAAGGTCTCCAGCTCCCCCATTTAGGACGTGGAAGACACATTGCCACCAATGCAGCAAAATATTTAACAAATCTGCTTCTTGTCTCCCTACCCTGGTTTGCACATGGCAAAAGCTGTCTTTATTCTCCGTCACTGCCTGAAAACAGCCCGCTAGCGGAGGCAGAAAACGAACACAAAACCATCTGTGACAACGAGTTTTCCCAAGTTTACCAAGCAGTTGGAAATGGAAGATTAGAATAAGGAGTGTAAGGTGGCCTTTCTATGGGACTTGCCAGCATTCTGCCTGGCACAGTACTCTCTGCCAGTTTTTTGCCAAGAAGCTTGCATGATGCAACTCTTATTCTCTCTCTACCTCCCAGCCCTGTGTGCCCTATCCACCTCCTTCCTTCTGTTTCTCCCAAGTCAACATCTGGGGCACCAAATTTTGAGTGCCACAAGTTCAGGAGCCCCATCTGAAGTCACAACCTGGATCCTGCTCTCATATCAGTGTTTCCCCTCAGCACTGGTGCTTCCCTGATTCAGTTCTTTTCTCAGGGAGGCTTTCTTATGAGTTAGGACTCCTGGGTTCTGTCCCTGCCACTAAAATCACTCATGTCACTTCCCCTCTCTTGCTTCCAGTCACCCATCTGTAAAATGAGACTAATGACACTTACTCATCTCTTGTCAGCCATTTTGATTTCTACAGTGAAAGATACTGTGCAGTGCTAGCTTGAATGGGGCTGGGCTCCCTGGAGGGTGAGTGGTGTGGGGTTCACTTGACTATGTTGCATACATTCTGTGTGTGTCTATGTATCTATATAATTCTCTTTTATTTCTCACAGATGACTCCTGGGGAAATAAAGTTTGCAGTCCATGTTGAGTCTGTCCTAAACCGTGTCCCACAACCAGAGTATAGGCAGCTCCTCGTAGAAGCTATCCTAGTTCTTACCATGTTGGCAGATGTGGAAATAAACAGCATTGGTGGCATCATTGCAGTGGAAAAGATTGTGCACCTAGCAAATGACTTATTCTATGAAGAACAGGTAGGATGCTGCCATTTGCTAGAATGAGTGAACTTGGTCTCAAATTTGGAAGGAACATGGGTCTGGGTTTGCAAGCATGTGTCAAACACTTAGCCCATGTACTCATATTAAATGGAACTCAGGCCAGCATTGCATTCAGTAGGCTTCTCCTAGGTGTTCAGTAAAGATTCAAGTCTTGCTTCCTAAGCAATTGGAAGTGTCACTTAACTGGGTGACCTCCTGATCCATTACACCAGCATTAAAAAGCTGTGGGCAGATGATTGCAAATGGTTGAAATTATCCTACACCTGAGGAACTTCTTCCAAGCCAGTGTAGAATAAACTCTGAAAGATATGGGAGTAAAATGGGTATAAGTGACACTGGTGTAGATGATATGTTTATGTTCATTCAGAGAGAGCTCTTTGTGAACACAACTTGGTGAATATCTATTCCTCTGCTGCCTCACAGAAGTGTGCTATCATGGCCACCAAGCACATGCAGGTACCCTAGGAGAACTAACAACACATCTCTCCACTCTGGATCCCAGTGTAATCTGCACTGGTATACAAAATCAGTATGCATTATACTGGGATCTGTGAAGGAATGTAGTGGGGCAAGAAAGGAAGGGAGGAGGGATTAGGTAGTAGAAGTAGTGGTACTGGGGCTTTAAGTGCTTGATGCTGGTTTGGAGCAAGGATTAGCTGTGGGTTGGTGGTGAGTTGAAAAGAAGGGGTGCCAAAGTATGCGTCTTCACCTGCTGCTTACAAACAGGGTAGAATTGGTGATGAATGTAGAAGTGGATGGCAACCTGGGCAGCAGTGATCATGAAGTCATTTAGTTCAGGATCCTGAGGAAAGGAAGGAAGGAGAGCAGCAAAGTAAGGACCCTGGACTTCAGAAAAGCAGACTTCAACTTACTCAGGGAACTGATGGGCAGGCTCTTCTGGGAGGCTAGTCTGAGGAGGAAAGCAGTGCAGGAGAACTGATTGTATTGTAAACAAACCTTACTAAGGATGCAGGAATGAATCATCCATCCTGTTGCACAGGAAGACTAGCAGGTATGGCAGAAGACCAGCTTGGCTTAGCAGGGAACTCTTCAATGAATGAAAACACAAAAAAGAAACTTGCAAGAAGTGAAAACTTGGGCAGATGACTAGGGAGGAGTTTGCAAGGATGAAATCTGGAAGTCCCAAAGCACAACTGGAGCTGCAGATAGCAAGGGACATGAAGGGTAAAAAGTTTCTACAAGTATGTTGGCAACAAGAGGAAGATCAAGGAAAGTGTAGCTCCCTTACTTACTGAAAGGGAGAGACAACCTAGTGACAGATGATGCAGAAAAGACTGAAGTACTTAATGCCTTTTTTATCTTGGTCTCCAAAGGCAGGGTCAGCTCCCAGACTACTGTACCTGGCAGCACAATTTGGGGAGAAGGTGATCAGGCAACAGGGGCAAAAGAGCAGTTTAGGAACTATTTAGAAAAGCTGGACATGTACAAGTCCATGGGGCCAGATGCAATGCATCTGAGGCTGCTGAGGGAGTTGGCTGATGTGATTGTAGAGCCACTGGCCATTATCTTTGAGACTCATGGTGATTAGGTGAGGTCCTGGATTATTGGAGAAGAACATATATAGCGCCCATCTTTAAGAAAGGGAAGAAGGAAGATCCAGGGAACTACAGACCAACCAGCCTCACCTCAGTCCCTGGAAAAATCATGGAGCAGGTCCTCAAGGAATCCATTGCTAAATACTTGGAGAAGTAGGTGATTAGGAACAGTCAGCCTGGATTCTCCAAGGGCAAGTCGTGACCAACCTTAAATTGCCTTCTATGACAAGATGACTAGCTCTGTGGATGTGGGGAGAGCAGTGGATGTGATATACCTTGACTTTAGCAAGGCTTTTGGTACGGTCTCCCACAACATTCTTGCAAGTAAGCTAAGGAAGTATGAGTTGGATGAATGGACTTGTAAAATAGATAGAAAACTGGCTGGATCGTTGGACTCAGAGAGAAGTAATTAATGGCTTGATGTCTAGTTGACAACCAGCATAAAGTGGAATGCCTCAGGGGTCAGTCCTGGGGCTGGTTTTGTTTAATATCTGTATCCACAATCTGGAAGATGGGATGGAGTGCACCCTCAGCAAGTTTGCAGATGACACCAAGCAGGGGGGGAATAGTAGATATGCTGGAGGGTAGGGCTAGGACTTGGACACATTTGGGAAAATTGGACAATTGGACCAAAAGAAATCTCGTGAGGTTTGCAGTAGACAATAAGCTATATATGAGCCAACAGTGTGCCCTTCTTGTGAAGAAGGCTAACGACATACTGGGCTGCATTAATAGGAGCATTGCTAGCAGATTGAATGAAGGGGAAGAATCACTTTATTCAGCACTGGTGAGGCCACATCTGGAATATTGTGTCCAGTTTTGGGCCCCCCACTACAAAAAGAGTGTGAATTGGAGAGAGTGCAGCAGAGAGCAATGAAAATGGTTAGGGGGCTGGGACACAGAACTTCTGAGGAGAGGCTGAGGGAACTGGGCTAATTTAGCCTGGAGAAGAGAAGACTAGGGCGAGATTGAATAGTATCCTTCAACTACTGAAGTGTGGTTTCAAAGAGGATGGAGTCTGATTGTTTTCACTGGTGGCAGATGACAGAACAAGGAGCAATAATCTCAAGTTGCAGCAAGGGAAATTTAAGTTAAAGGTAGTGAAGCATTGGAACAGGTTACCCAGAGAGGTTGTGGAATCACCTCAGTCCCTGGAGAAATCATGGAGCAAGTCCTTGGAAGTTTTTAAGACCCAGGTAGATAAAGCCTTGGCTGGGTTGGTGTAGTTAGGGATGGTTCTGTTTTGTGTAGGGGGGTGGACTAGATGATCAGAGGTCTTTTCCAACCCTAATTTTCTATGATTCTATGCACTGCTGACTAATGCCTTCTCTCCTTTTTCTCTCTCTCTCTCTCTCTCCTCCATTCCCAAATGGAACAGAAAACCCTGGGTGCAGATGACAACATGCTGGAGAAGGATACTGCCACTGGTATCTGCACCTTGCTGTATGACAGTGCTCCCAGTGGCAGATTTGGCACCATGACCTACCTCTCCAAATCAGTTGCAATGTATGTGCAGGAGTTCCTCCCCAGCAGTGGCTGCACCATGCAGTAGACTCACCTGGTCTGGGCTTCAACTCTGAGTTTACAAACAGCCTTGATTATTATTATTAGGGATGAACAGCAAGGCCTTAGGCTGTCTTGTTGGCAGACGTTCTTCGCATTAGTTGCCTTGCTGGGATGGTGGCTTCAGAGCTTGGGACCTGCTTCCTCCTAGCTTTGTCCTTGAAAATGCCACAACCACAATAACTACTCTTGGATGGAAGAGTTTTCCTTCCAGAGCAAAATGACATGGCAGGAGAAAGTGTGTGTGTGTGTGTGTGTGTGTGTGTGTGTGTGTGTGTGTGTGTGTGTGTGTGTGTGTGTGTGTGAGAGAGAGAGAGACCACAGCTGCATTTGTGGACAGATGTCATGACTCTCCTCTTTCCATCAAATCCCAGGGCCTGGCTTGGCTGGCTGAGGGCTGTGCTGTGTCAGGCCCTGGGTTGAGTCCCAGCTTACATCTGAGGCATCTGTCTACATAGCATGTTACTGCTGCATAACTTTCCCAGTTATAAAGCCTACACTGGTAGGTTTTAGTCATGGCTGAGGTGGGTAATAGCGGGGTTCACAAAGGATTTTATTTATGTCCCCTCCTAGAGGCTCTCTCTGTGTTGATGCATCCCTGTGCTGTAAAGGATACAGAGTGTATATGTCCACCTGCCTTTTTCTCTCCATTGGACTTAGCTGTTTAGATGCTCTCGCTCTTTAGCACCAAGCCTGTGTGGCTTTGGTTTTATTTTTAATTAAGATTTTATGAACTGACCCACATCCCCCCTGCTGCAGCTTTTGTTAGAGATCTGGGTCCCATTACTCCAGACCCCTTCCTGACCCTCCTAGCAATGACTCACTGACCTAGCCAGGACATAATCTGTGCACTGGGGATCAGTTAGACCTGTTGGCTGTTGTGGGCCCCTGCTGCTCCCCTGCCATGCAGATCTGATGAAGCCTATGAGAAACTGTGCAGAACTGCTTTAGGGGGTGAATGGATTGGGGTCCTCAACCAAGCTCCCCATATCTGTTTAGAGCTCTAGGGGACAGGGCTTACACAAAAGGTTCTCGACTGTCTGGAGAGAGATTCTTAGCCCCTTCCCAAACCATATTTAGCCGTGTTTTGATGCACTGAGTTCCTGTATATCTATCTATGGAGACCCAGGAACAAATTAAAGTAGCCCTAAATTACCTGCTTTGTAACAGCTGGATTTGTTGGGAAGCCACCTGCCTGTGGTGTGTTTTACAGTGGGAGTGCTGGGTCCTGCTTGCTTTGTGCTTTTGACATCAGCCCATGCATTTCACCTTTAGGTCAGAAAAGCAGCAGTCCCTCTACTATTGATTCACACAACACTTGAATTCCCAAGGACCTGTGTTATCCAGTGAGGAGTTAAGCCTAAGTGATAGTGGTGCTTGTGTTAGGTAGTCCATGCATGCACCAAGCACTCTTCATACACATTTCTATGGCTGGGTCACCTTGGAACCCTCTTTTCCCCAAGACAACTTTGACCAATGGAGTGAAATGGTGTGGGTGTATGATGATTTGGCTTCTTCAGTCTCAAGTGAAGAAAGAGTCTTCACTGGAGCTTTCTGGCTCCGTTAGTTTCAGACTTCCTAAGAAGCTCAGATTCAAACACTCCAGAAAGATTTGCCAGTTGCTTATACAATTTGTTTCATTTTAATATCTTCACTTCCCTAGGACTCAGTTTCCTTTCATCCATCTAACCCTTCAGCCTTTCAGACACAATCCAGCCTCCCCAGTCCATGCTTTCTGTAACAGAACTGTCTAACAAAATATCTGGTGTTCTTGTGCATGCAGTACATGTTACCAATAACCCAAGACAGGTTTGAAACCATGGAAGGGGAAGCTGAAGCACCTGCACTGCCTTTTCCCACTCCATCCCAGTTATTCCTTGTCCATAGATAATGATCGTTTAGATCAGCTTGTTCTCTTTAAGCATTCAGGTGATCTGACTGTCAGCGATATTGAGTGCTGTAGAAGTGACATTCTGATTCTTCCTTCCAAAGCTAAGAGTTCAGTGTGTGTGCACACCAGTGTGGCTGTTCTAATGGTATGGAGAGATGTGCCTTGCATAGCATCAGAGGTGTGTATCCACTCTCAGGTTTTACAGTGAGCACGTGCTTGCAAACCTGCCCATCTGAAATAGTCCTCCTCTGTGTATCTGCTGTCCGCTACCAGCCAGTTGTGCAGGTTGGGCACTATGTGCAGGTTGGGCAGGGTTTTGTTGGATCTGTTTAACAGTATGTCAGGAGTCCTTCCAGATGAGCACTGCTCGTATATTTGCTAGAAAAGTTAAGATATGTGTCGGTAATCTTCTCATTGACCTCCCATTCAGCTGCTTACCTGTTTTGCTGGAGTCAGAAGTATTTGAAAATGTCTCAGAAGCCAGATCAGTCCCACAACTCCATCACCTGGTGGAGTATAGCTTATGGCCCAGATAGGTAGACAAGCCTGGCTGGAACACCATTGCTTGGCAGGTGAGGGGAAAGAGAGTGAGTCTAGAGGTAAGATGCTTGACCTTTCAGTTAGCTCAGTTCCCTCATGCAGCTCCTCCAGCCGAACTCATAGGGTAACAAGCACAGCATTTGGGCATGTTTGGGAAGGCAGCTCCATGCCAAAACACTGAAGGCTGCAACACTCCGGAAGAAATGGTGGCAGTCAAATCTGTTAGAGGGAAAGGAACCAGAGCTGAAACCCTGAGAGAACAACAAACTCTCTGCTGTTGAGCCTGAAACTTTCCAATGGTTTCTTGGAACAAAAAACCCCACAACATACGGGTTTTTATTTTTGGGTGTATGTTGGGAGCAGGGCTGTCAACCACCCCACTGCAGCCATTTCCGCTTAACATTTTTCACAGCAGTACTAGAGACCCTTTAAAGATTTCTGACCAATGAGAGGGTGATCTAGGGTCAGACTGGGATTCCATGAACACACGTCTATAAAACATGCTTCCTTTTCCCATGGACAAGAGAGAGTGCCTCAGAGCACTGCTAGGTCTAGATTGGCAGCTGCTTGGCTCGCATTGCTAGAGCCAGGTTTCAAAAGATCTTAGCACTCCATGTACACCCAGTGCATGAGGCTCTAATCTTCAAAGGCAGTTAAGTGCCTAAATTACTAGGTGTTAGGTACCTACATCCCTTCTAAGGATCTGGGCCTGAGTTCTGCTGACAATTGGGCACCTGTCGCACAGTGCTGACCTCCTAAACATGTTGGCCTTAGTGCCTTATACTGCAGGATCCAGAAATTCCCTGCTCTCCAGAGCCCCAGCTCCTGGGCTGGGAACTGGATCTGTGCATGTGACTTTTTTTTTAATTGAATTTTAATCTTCAGTTTTAGAAGTTGCCAAATGTTTCCTTACAGAGCGGGGTTGGGAAAGAGCCAGTAAGTGACAAAAACAAAGAGCTCAAGAGTTATAAACTTGGCGTGAAACGGCCTACTGGGGGTGGGGATTCATTCATGAATAGGGCTGGTTGCTGCATTGCACTTTCGTGATGGTTTACTGACTGTAGCTTGATTGCACTCTAACACGTAGCCATGTTCCCTTTTAAAACTCCATTTCTTAGATCTTTATTTTTGGCATGTGATGCTGAGATGCATGTAGACCTCAGTCTCTTTTTTCCTAGTAAAACAAACAAAAATTATAAAAAACACAGAATTTTAATATATTGTTTTTGAAGACTGAAATTCTGGAGTAAAACATCTTTGTTTCACACATGCCTGCATTCTCATTTCTTAGATGCACTGATAATTGGAGGGGGGCTGAGTCGCCCTTGGGGAAAGTAGTTGATCTGAGGCAGAGGTGCTACTTCAAGTATGTAGAGTGGGACTAGGATGGCGCTTTGCTCAGCATCTCAGGACTAGTTTACAGTCAGCTTGTGGACAGACATCATGACAAAGTAGCTTCACTGGCCCCAGCTGGGGCTGACTCAACACATGGCTGAGTTGTCCTTTGCAGTGTTGCCTGAGCCAGCCATGGGATTAGTTCAGGGGTGGGCAAAACACAGCCCACAGACTGGATCCGGCCAGCCAAGCGATTTCATCAGGCCCGCGGGTGGATGCCTACCAGTTCACTGTATCCAGCCCTGCCCTCGGCTTCCCCTGTTGTATTCGCATGGGGCCAAGCCCCACTGACTTCTGTGGGGGCAGCACATGCTGCACTCCCACCCTCATCCATGGAATGGTCCTGACCCCAACCCCACAGGTAGGGAAGTGGTGGCAGGTGGAGGAAGGGTGGCAGCAGGTGGGGGGGCAATGGTGGGTGGGAAGTGGTGGTAGACATGTAATTCTCAGGTCTTCCCTTCTGCAATTGTAGTCCCAGTGGTGTAACCATATCCTATGTACATCTGTGTTACTGAGGGCCACCAGGGCCTCTCCTACCACAAAGAACTAGCACCTGAACATTGTACAGTAATTAGATGCTGAGCAGTTACGACCAAGCCTGTCCATCTCTTGAACACATTTTGTGCAGCATTCAGCATAAATCCAGTCTTGATCCTGGTTGAGGTCTCAGGCTATTCCAATGTAAATGACACTGTAGCTTTGACCAGAAGACCTAAGCACAAAGTCAAGATGAACTTGAAGATTGCAATCATGTTGGGAGGCTTTTCCCCACCTTAATCACCAGTGCTGCATGTAGCCTAGGTCAGGAATGGCCAATCCTGCTCTCCAAGTGTTGGTGAAGACTTAAGTTGGATTGGTTCCAGCTGCATAAGTGTCTGCATTGCAAACTCTCCTCATAACTACTTTCTGGCTCTGTTAAACTCATGCTTTGGTTGGTCTCATTAGAAATGCTAGGGAGACTAAACCTTCCTTTTCTACTCCTACCTGTGACCTCCCTCAGTAGGGAGACTCCCAAGCCAAGGCTACATGAGGATGTGTGTGCACATATTTTATCTTTCTGAGGTAAATGGGGATGTAGTTATCCAATCTTAGCAGTACCACATTCCCTGAAATGCCTATATGACTTTTTCACTGTATTCTTTGATGACGTGACTGAAACAACAAACTACCTCTATTTATAAAATATAAACCCTGGTGTAGATACTCGTCATCAAGCACTTCATGACCTAGGTCATGGGTTCCCAGACTGAGACCCACTGAGCTTGATGGTCCTATTAAAGAAGGTACATGAACCAATATAATTTTGGTGATACTGTCTTAGTATTAACTCTCCTAGTTAAATGAAGCATAACAATTCAGTCAGGCCTCTGCTGTTACTGGGCTAGAAATTTACTTTTTAACATAAAGAGGCCCATCTCCATCTGTTTGTTGTGGGTTGTTCATCTGTTCTAGCTAGCTGCTCCAAGTCTTTCTGAATGGGGCTAGGCAAATCTAATAATAGCTGTAATAATGGTATTGTGAGAACCTAAGAACTGCCATCATAGGTCCCTTTTGCCCAGTCTCCTGCATCACACAGTGGCAGGGAGTGGATGCTGAAAGGGAGAGGGAACTGGGCCTGACCAGGATTGTTTTCCCCCCTTGCTTTTCCTCCCTCACTTGCACCTCCACCATTTAAGGTTCTGATTCAGAGCGTGTATCCTTTACTTCCATGCTTAATAGCTACTGATGCCCCTTTCCTCCAAACATTTGTCCAATCCCTTTTTTAATTTGACGGCAAAGAGTTCTACACTTTGATTCCGCACAGTGTGAAAAAAAGAGCTTCCTTTTGTTTGTTTTAAACTGATTACTGGCTTCCTTGTGTGACTCCCTCATTCTTGTCTTGTGAGAGAGCTAGTAAATAATAAATCTCTATTGACTTTCTTTCTACTATGTAGAATTTGGTAAACTCTTATCATGTCCCCCCTCAAGCATCATACCACACATCAATGAGCCACAGTAGAGATCATGCCTGAATCCAGGGATTGCTGACAAGTGTCTCTTTTCTCAACCAAACAGGTCGTACCTCTTTAGCTTCTCCTATGGAAGAGCCTGCATGCCACGCATCATCCTCGTTGCCCTTGTGTACGTGGGCTATAGCTGGAATGGTCCAGAAATTATCCTGGAGGCAGGGATGTTGTAGGGTGGGGTGTGTTACAGGACCAGTAGTAGATCTAGTATAGGGTTAGACAAACCTTCAAACAAGATTGGCTCAGTGCTTGAAAACATTGTCAAAAAAGCAAACAAAATGTTGGGATTATTAAGAAGGAAATTGTAAACACGACTGAAAAGATCCTCATGGCCCTTTATAAATCAATGGTGTGTCCATGTCTTGAATACTGTGCCCAGTTCTGGTTTCTTCACCTCAGAAAGCAGATAGAAGAACTAGAGAAGGTCCAAAGAAGCGCAACAAGGATGATGAGCAGTATGGAGGCTCTTCCATGTGAGGAGCGACTAAAGAGACTAAGCCTATTCAGTTTAGAAAAGACATGCTTGAGGGGGAACATGAGAAGGGTTTCCAAAATACTAAACTTGGCAAAGAAAAAGTAAATAGGGATTATTATTTACTCTCTTACAATACAAGAACAAGGGGTCACAAAATGAAACTATTAGGTAGTTGATTTAGACCTATCAAAAGGAAGTTCTTTTTCACACAGCCTGGAATTCAGGCGTGGAGCTCATTGCCGCCAGATGTTGTGGAAGCTGCCAGTTTAGGTAGATTCAAAAAGGGATTGGACACATTCTTGGAGGAAGGGGACAATTGAGCATGGGAGGCAGAGATACAGGCTCTGAATTGGAATGTCCTAGGCCTTAAATGATGGAGGCTGCAAGTGAGAAAGGGGCAGCGGAGGAAAAAAACCCTGATCAGACCCAGCATCCACTCCCTTTCAGCATCCACTCCCTGCCACTGCATGACACAGGTACAGCTGTTTTGTGGAGGTTTTAGTACTGAGAGAGTAACCACCCAAGCCATACAAGGTGTGACCCTGGTGCTTCAGTGCATAGACCATGTCCATGGTGGTCATGCTCTTGCACTTGGTGTGCTCGGTGGAGGTGATGGCATTGTGGATCATGGTCTCCAGGAAGACCTTCAGCCCCCCACAGGTCCTCTCACAGATGAGGCCAGAGGTGTGGTTTATGCTGCCATGGCAGATGCCTGACTTGGTGTTGCTGCAGGGCACTTTGCAGTGGCGCTTGGCACTGCCTTTCCCCAGCCTCTTGCCCATGGCCAGATGGGTGGAAGCCTAGGCAAGAGGGACCTGTGCCTAGGTCTGACTCCAAGTGTCCACTTCACAAACAGTCCAATGACTCAATCTGGGGAGTGCCTCTGGCATCCTGTATTTCCTCCACGCTTGGAGACCTCTCAGCTGTTTGGCCTATCAGATTTAAAAGCTTCTTTCGTCCTTTGGAGCATCACAAGAGCCAGAACAAAGCAAGACTCTGCCCCTCTACTCAGGCTCTTTTAAGCACGTGTCACCAGCATTTCACAGAAGCAGGAGGCTGGCGGCCCTGCCTGACCCGTGCCAGTTGGGGGCTGGTCTGTGCTGTGCGGTGCAGAGCTTACGCTGCGGGGCAGGGACCGGCCTGGACGTCCCCGCCCGCCCCGCTT